TCTTTCGTGGCACTCTTCGAAACGACCAATATGGCTCTCTCTGTAATATAGATGAAAATGTGAATGTGAATGAAAAAATGGCATTTTCGAGATGTACAAACTTACTGGTCAACAATGGGCCCCAAATTTCCGATATTGAATCAACGAAAGTCAATGCTGTTTTGAATATACCAATCGATTCGGTTGATGAGTATGGAAACGTTTCCCATTGCCATTGCAATCGATTCATGAGCGCGGCATGCGACAGTCGAACACCTTTTGGAACTCCAGTGCTACCAGATGTGTAGAGGACCAAAGCCAAGTGTCCACCGCTAGCCGATTGCAGCTTTCGCGCATCGGATATATTTGTATCTTCATGGTCCATTAACAAACCTTTGAAAAAGGAATATGAAGAAGCGTTTGCATTGCAGAATAAACTGCGACCAACCGCATCGTTATCGTAAATGACGAGAGTCGGTTCCGTTTCCCGCAGAATGTGGTCAATGCGACTTCTGGGAAACTTTACGTCGATGGGTAAGTACGCGGCACCCGTTTTCAAAATGGCCAACAAAGTGATGATGAGTTCATCGCTTGGAGGCATGCACACGCCAATAATCCAATCACCATCGGAATTCGGTTCCAATTCGCTCGTGCTGATTCGATTAAGTAACACGGCGGCTAGTTGATTTGCGGTCTGATTGAGCTGATTGTAGGTGAGCTGGCAATCCTCGTCGCAACAATTGCCGAAAATGACAGCTGGTTCATTTCCACACTCCAATGAATTCAAGTTTGCCTCGAAAATACGATGCAATCGATGTGTATCTCGATTTAATCCTTTTATGATTGATATTTCTGGATTTGATTTGATACCCATTCCGTGTACGACGAGCTTTTGATTCTGCAAAAATTACCAAAATGGTTTTTTATTTCAATTTATAACTCAATCAAACATGTGTTTTAAGATTGCTGAGCATCTCAGCATTTCGTAAGGCACGGATATATCCGAGCATATCGACGACGCATACAGTGGCGTGCGTTGCTACGCGCAGCCGCAACGACTCGACCGGAATGTGTATGTTGTTGCTGCGTGCAGCCACATCAACTGAACACACTTCGGTCGAGTCGTTGCGGCTGCACGTAGCAACACACGCCACTGTATTATACAGTATGCTTCGTCGATATGCTCGGATATATCCGTGCCTTACGAAATGCTGAGATGCTCAGCGATCTTAAAACACATGTTTGAACTCAATTAAAATTTCGACCAAATAAAACCATTTTTATTCGATAAACTTTATGTTTATAATACGTATTGCTTCAAGAGCAAAATTATTCCGTAGGTTATCGTTATTTTGCTCGCTATTTTCTTTCCTCTACTAAAAATTAGAGGAAAATAACAATTCATGTATAGACGACTAAAATATTGGCCGTTTTTTATACTCAACTCTTGATTATGGCGGATACTGCGATATAAATTCAATTAAATGGCCTAGACGGTGTTGGAACATTTATATTTAAATGGTTGCGTTAGAATTTTAATTCACCTACTCTACTTGCAATGATTTTCCTTAATAAAGGCTAGGTACCTCAAATATAGTGTGACAAAATGAATTAAATGAATCGAATTCCATAACAAATTAATCACTGCATTTAAGTGTTACAATCTTTATTTCAATCTTACCTACCGCCTTTCTTCGTTTGTATGTCTTGTTATAACGCACAAAAAAAACGCTAATCAGAATAAATTCTTACACCACTTATCTATACCGAATTGAAACGTAGTTTTTGTTAAAAGAGACAGCACGAAAAAGTAGCGGCAAATTATGGTCATATTTCAATGTTACATTGCCCATTGCCTATAACTTCAAAATCATATTACGGAATCGAAATTAATCTAATGCAATGTACATAGATTTATTTCCTTTAAAATAAACAAAACACTAGTTGATGTCTGTTTATATTTCAAACTTCAAAATTTATTCTTTTTTTGCTGGTGTTTGATCTAGAATGAATTGAACCTTTCATTGCAATACACTAATTAAATGCAGTGATTGCGATATCGTTTTCAGCATCTCACAAGACAACTGAAAGTGATTTAGCAATCACTGATCAAATGGAAAAACAGTTCTTTCGAAGTCATTCCTCGTGACAAAAGCGAACACAAAACCAGTAATATCAATTTTAGAAATTAACTTCGGAGCGATTCGGACTTGCTTTTTTGCATTATTATTAACTAGGTTCTGAAGCGATCCGTAATGATTTTCTGAAATTGATAACACTTGTGTTCGCTTTCGTCACGAGGAATGACTTCGAAAGAGCTGTTTTTATTTGATAACAGAATTTAATTCAATTCTCAGCCAAACAAACCCAATTGATATCGTTGACATATGAAAGAAAAATGCTGAAAATAGATAGTCTGAAAAAATATAATAACGATTGAACATGAATCAATCATTACAGAATCAATATTAAGATTTTCCCACCAGATATTCCAAAACAACTATGCTTTCTTAGTTAAATAGACACGTTACTACATAATATTTTGATTATAAATAACTCTATCGAATGCACTAACATTTTGCTGAAACATTTTTTTCTTCATTTGTTGATGAATATTCCTATACTTTTCAATAGTAGTTTTATGTGAATTAGACTTGCAAAAAAAATTTGGCGCAGAATAAAACATATAAATAATAAAAAGAATTACATTGGTAATCCCGAACTTTTCCGTACCGTTGGCCTGCGTTGTCCGTAGGTACTTTTGTTTGTTTTTGTGAATTTTCTTGAAATAAAGGCAGTGAAAATGTAATAATAAAAATAAAGTGAAAAATCGGTCACTTTAACTAAAACTTCAACAATTTTGTATGAGAGGTACCCGTAAACCGATTCTCATTGGCTTCAAACTTTCTGAGGTTTCATTTTTTGGAGAAAACATAAGATATAGAAAATTTCGGCAAAAATTGAGGACAAAAAACTAAACTTCTGCAAATGCGATCAACATGAAACTTTCAGAATCTTATTTTTTCTCCAAAAAATTAAACCTCAGAGAGTTTGAAGCCAATCAGAATCGATTAACGGGTATTACAAAATTGTCCAAAAATAGGTAATTTTAGTCAAAATTTCAAAAATTGTGTATGGGAGGTACCCGTAAATCGATTCCGATTGGTTTCAAACTTTCAGAATCTTATTTTTCTCCCAATGAAATCCCTCCCACAGTGTTGTAAAAAGATAAATTTTAGATAGATAAGATAAGATAATATCTTATCTTTATCCTAACATTGCTTTCTAATAGTCTTCTTATCTATTATCTTTATCTAAATGGCATATTTTTTGGTTATCTATTTGTGCATTTCATAGATAAATTTCAGATGGTTAGATTTTCATCAAATTCAATTCTTTTAACTAAATTCTTAAGAAATAAATACTTCAATTTATCTTTTTTTTTATTCTTCAAACCGATAATTATTATTTTTTCAAGTTGCTATCGAATAGACAATGTCAGTGAGTTTCTCACCTAAATTTTATATTAATACAATCGCTTTGCTTCATTTAACAATTTTTGGTTGTGTTTCATTAAAAGCGCCTGCTCAAAGTGAATCGCGGAAAGTTTGTTTCGACTCGGTGTAAACATCAAACCACTTTGACTGAATACTCTTTCAACCGGCCCTGAGGAGGAAAGAGTTGTGTTGTACTTGAAATACTTGTCTTACATGTGGATACTCGTCCAAAATTGAGTTGTCATTCCAAATTTCACATAAGAAACGAGAGACCTCGGATTCAAATTCACTTTCGATTGAGTTCCTACGAATATTTCTAGAATACGATATTATGAAATCATCTTGCTGCATATCGTGATCTCGTTCTTCTTGGGTGATATTCGTAATGTCACTTTTCAATTTCTTGCACTCAGCTATAAAGGTGCTATTTCCTAGGCTGTCGATTGTAACCGATTCTTTTGTGATCGGTGGACGATTACAATCGGTGCCGATCTTTTCAAACCAATTTCCTAGGTCGCCGATTACGTCACCGATTTTCTCATAAATCGGCGCCGATTTTTTTGCCAACGAACTATGTTTGTTTGAGAATTAAAATGTTTCGTTTAAAAAAGTGCAAACACACAGCAGCCAAAATACCGATCTATCGCATTTTACGCACATTTACTTTTTTCACATTCAAATTTGTTTGTTGAAAAAGAAAATCAATTGAGAATTGACCATTTTTTGTTATTGATTGAATTTTGACGTTTTTTTACAGCGACAAATAGAAGTGATTCTTTTTCTTATTGAAAAGAGCGCTTCAGTATTGTAACAATTCTCTTTTGTAACGTTTTATGCATTCAATGTGGAGTGTTTATAATTTCTTGGAAATGTACGGGAGAAATAGCTATAGATATAGTTATTGCTATAAGAAGGCACCGTATGCGACGACACTTTCTCGATACAGAGAAATTTGATTCAATGCAAAACGCAACAAGAGGGTTTTCATTTAAGTATGTTCGCTGCTCTTCAGTCTGAATCGTACGAATAGCGGCAATGCCGAATATAAACAAAACACGCCGATAACGAGCAATACACACACATGAATCTGTGTATTTGATGCCGTTCTGCGCGTGTATTGAACAATAGAGCTATAGTAGAGCCGCTGAGAATGAGAACAGCTGAAAGCATACATATTCATCCGCATTGATATGATTAGTTTGCGATGGCTATGTATTTCGGTTTTGTATGCTTAAAATTGAATGTGTTTTCGTATCTCAACGCTCCGCTTCACTCAGCACCAGCATTGACATTGAGAGTGGATGCATGACGATGACGTAGACAATACAAAACTGCTATCATTTGTGTAAAGTGCGCATTTTGAGAGTATCTAAATCAAAATAAAATCTTATTTCAAACAAAAAGAAACGCGATGAAAACATCGACAGAATAATGTATCCAATACATGAAAAAAATGATTGAATAAATAAATTAGATCAAATCAAAAATCACAACCAATTCCAAAACTGAACCTACTTCCAAATCGATATTTTTCGCCGATTTCAAAGCCAATGTAAGTCGATTCGTAAATATAACATTTCTATATAATACTATTTGATACATACAATTCTAATTTCGGAAATCGCAAATATTTTAGCCCGAAACTTCAGGTTTCTCACAATGGTTCTCTCACAATATTGTGGAAAAAGGAATCGAATGGAAATGACTCGATGTATGTGGACTTGTATGCATTGAATGGTGGATGCGTAAGTTTTGAGAAAGGGGATTGTTTTGCTCGACAGGGAAAACCGAGTTCAACATTCAACAAAAATGATGTGGTGTCATCGCAAAAGCGGACCGAGGGCGACAAATACTTCAGCCAGGGCAAATGGACTCGGGCAATGGAAGTGTACGGTGAAAGTCTATGTTATGCTGAACATGGCTCGAAGAATGTCAGTTTGGCGTATGCGGACCGATCGGCTTGTTTTTTGAAAATGAAACGATACAAAGAATGTCTCATCGATATTGAATTGGCGAAACAAGCCGGCTATCCAGCGAATTTGATACCGTAATTGGATCAACGCAAAGAGGAATGCTTGAAAGCCATCTATTCTTTTTTCCTTTCGTTTAGAATTATTTTTTTTATATTACAACAGGAAAACACAAAATTACGGATAAAGATAACAATAAAGCTTCGTTTCGAGCGTTCTGATAATGATTTTTCAAATCTAATTTGATTTTTTATTCAACTTAATTTGAAGCGAAACACTTGAATTCTCAAACAAACATAGATCGTTGGCCGATTACAAGAAAATCGGCGCCGATTGTAGACAAATCGGTTGCCGATTGCACCGACCCCATTTCCTAGGCCACCGATTGTTAGAAAAAATCGGCGCCGATTACAATCGGCCATGATCGGCCGCCTAGGAAATTTTTTGTTCGCAATTCTCAGCTTTTCCATAATGTTGCACGTAATTTTCGATCTGGTTTAATTGAAAGAACATTTCTGAAATCTTTGAAATTATCTAAATTTGTTAATCAAAAATAAGATAATCATCTTATCTTATAAGGAGATATCAGATAATATCTTATCTTTATCTTTTCTCATTTTTACTTCATTTTTACAACACTGACCTCCCATACAAAAGTGTCAATCTTTTGAGATTTTTCTTAGGGCAAGTACTCCAGGATCAAATCGAAAATGGCTCATCTTCGAACTTAAACTAAGTTTTTTGAATACAAAACTTTTGGCATTTCCAGATTCTGATTATCTCAATTATTTTTTGAGTTATCGTGTTAACAAACACCAACGACAACGACGACGGCACACGAATGGAAAAGTGTCTCAAAAAGTGGTTTTCTACGCGTTTCATGAGTTTTTATGATGATCTAAACCAATTTTGCGAAAAAAGTTTTCGGAACCAATTCCTATACTTTCCCTTGACACGGTGTGTACGGAAAAGTAATATGAACCTTATGATAATATTTTAAGTGAACTCTGAACGAATAAAATTTTCCAGTTGCCAGTTTTTTGTTATTATATTCCTTCTATCAAGGTAAGTTGAATAATAAAATCATATACAAAACATTCAAAATCAAAGAAAATGGATAAAATAACACAAAAACCAAATTATATTTTTCATTCATGTTTGAATCCTCACAAAATGAATAATTTGCTTGCTTTTTCGTCTTTCGTTCCTGTTTCACTCATTCTTTGGTACATGGTTCAGTTAAAAATAAAACTAAAGCTATATGATATCATTGTATTTGGTTTTACATTCCTTCGTCATCATTTGATACATTCGCACATAAACTGTGTCTTATTATACATATACAAACTTAAGTAGTGATACATATCTTGTCGATGAGATTTCTTCTTACGCTCGCTATAGCGGTTTTTTTTAATTCTGGTATATATCAAACGTTCACTAGAAATATTCACATATTCAAGATCAAAATTAGTCTTTCGCTTGAATAGAAGATGCAAAAACGTGCTTTTTTCAAACGTCAAACCGAACGATCACACTGAAAAAATTTCAGGCATTTGTTTAATGTTTCAATTTGCTTAGTAATTTTTTTTTTCAATTTTTCATTTAATTACCGTAGAAATGGTCTATATTTTGAAGAATCACGCGATTTCCAAAGTGATTACAAAATTGTATCTCAACGATGAATTGGCCGATGTACATTTTGTGTTTGATTTCACTGATGCGATCGATAGAGTGCCGGCTAATAAAGCAATTTTAGCAGCTCTGAGCCCAGTGTTTTATAAGATGTTCTACGGCGATTTGAAGGAAGGATCCACTGTTAAAATAGTCGACGCGAGTGTTGAAGCTTTTGAGGAATTTCTTCAATTTTTCTATTTGGATGAAATAAGACTAAGGATGGAAAACATAGAAGCCGTTGCACGATTGGCAGATAAGTATGACATTCTGGAACATGTCGATGTGTGTGCAACATTCCTCAAAAGCCAATTGACGGTGAATAACATGTGTTGGGGCTATCAATTGGCTGTGTATCTTCGAAAAAGGCCACTTATTGCATTCTGTGAAAATGAAATTATAAGATCATCTAAGGAAATATTGGCAACAGATGTGTTTCAACGGTGTGAAAAAGATACTTTAAAGCGCATCCTGCAACTCGACCTAACATGCAACGAAGTTGATTTATTCAATGCATGTTTATTGTGGGCCAAAAAGGCTTGCATTGAAAACGATCTGGATGAACATCGAGCGAAAAACATACGGCTACAACTTGGCGACTGTTTTAAATTTATTCGATTTGGAGCAATGACAATCGAAGAATTCACCTCGATTGCAATGTCAAACCATGGTCTTTTCACTCCAGAGGAGTTTCAGGATACAATTTTTGCATTGACATCATCTAATTATAAGCCAAAGATATTCAATCGAAACCCTCGAGGTTTCACATGGAATGAAGAGAATGTATTGACTTGCAAACGCATTCGTGAAAACACCCAATTAAAACATGTAATGGGCTCCGAAATCATCAGATTTAAGTCGAATCAAACTATTCTGTTGGGAAAAATTATATCTGCAACCACGTACCGAATGGAAGCTGATGATCTACTGCGTCACAGCGATGTGCAGCTCATTATTTGTGAAATTGGTGATCATTCACATCCGGAGAAAATACATTACGATGGAGATACGTCAATATCATGGCTTAGTCATAAGGCACACATAGTTTTACCGCAACCAATTTTGATCAAGTCTAAAAGTGTGTATGAAATCCGATTGAAATTGCAAACGAGTAACGAGGCAATGTATGACTATTCGTGGAAGCCAACCATTGAAATGGAAAATGGTCTCAAAATTGAGTTCCAACGAAGTCCAGCAGCAATGTATGATACTTCTTCATATGGTTGGATTTCCGATTTTGCTATCAATACAGTTTAATGTCGATTCAAGAGAATTTTCAAGTGCAACTAAGGAGAAATTTATTATGAATTCAACAGTGAAAATTTATTGTACCCAATTGTATCAATAAAAGAATAAATTGCCTTTCATCAATATGTTGTGTATTTTTGTGCTACGCTGAGTATTTTGTAGTCATGATCTTGATCATTTATATGGCGCTGCGTTTGTATTACCTTTCTTTATTCAGTTTTTGGTGTGAAAATCTGACTCATACCAAAGATGAGCACAAATTTGATGTGAAGTTACTGTGATTCATACTAATCTGGAGAATATTTTAAGCACATCTTTTTATGTGGATTTCCTATGGGTCCTTATAAACGGCTTGAAAATTTAGAAACAAATTGATGCTAGGCAATTCTCACCGCAACGATTGCTAAATATAACAGCCGGTTTCTTTGCACAATCCGGTGAATTCAAGGTTGCCTCGGAAATACGATGGAATCGATATGTACTGTAATCTCGATTTAAACCTTTTATGATTGATACTTCCGGTATTGAACCCATTTCGTGTGAGGCGAGTTTTCAGTCTGCAAAAGTTAACAAGCCAAAATGGTTCTCTGTTACATTCACAATTCATTTGGAAATTAAGTGAAACGACACTAAAAAAAAATCTGAAGTACATGTTTAATTGAATTCAATGTTACATAATACGTATCGCTTCAAGGGCAAACATTTATTCATGTGTTATCGTTTATTTTGCTTGGTATTCGTGGACATTTATCCATCATGTTTATTTACTCATAATTCGCGGTATTGGCCTTTGATATAACTCTTAAATACTACGCTATTAATTCAACTAAACAGCGTATTAGACGACGTCGAAATATCGACACGTATATTTAAAAGACTATTTCACCGCTGTTGTTGTTCTAATGCGAAAGGGTTGCTCAATCATATTGATAAAACGAATCAAGTGGATCGAATCCAACAACAAATCTAAAACTGCATTTAAGTGCAATAATCTCAAAAGTAATCGTACTTATTTCCTACTTTAATATATTTCGTGCATAACAAAGAGCACGAGTTATTCTTATTAAAAGACAGATAAAGCAAATAATAGCGAAACATGCTTATGGCTCAGAAAAAATAGTGGTGATGTCTGTGATCCAGATTTTGTTCGCTCATGGTCATTACTCTCCGGGCGAGCGGGCAGCACACCGGTTCATGTACCGCAACCGTTTACTGTCCGCCCGTCCAAATTAACGCGAGCGGTTAACCATCAGCCATTTTGCTTTTATCGAAGCTCTGGTCATAATCTGTAAAACCATGACAAGAATTTTATCGTTTAAGTCACACAGTTACACACATTTTTTAATTTTCTCTCAATTTTTATTTAGTTTCCAATCATATAGTAAATTGTATCCATGAAATATAAATTCAATAATGAAATATTGAGCAAAAAAGTAGCCAACGATTATGTTTTCTTATACATTAGTTTCTAACATGCTAAAACTTTATATCGACTGGTTCATACGTATGATTATTGGCACAAACCGCTGAGTTCAAGTGGTTTCGTCAGGGTAAATACCTAGAGATGCTACCAAAGAAACGGTGCGAAAGATAATTGCTTGAGTTGGATATAATGTATATTTCACGAAGATGATCTGAGTCAGTCGCGCGACTGTCTGTTGTTAATTTTTAGTTCTTAATCGTGTAAATTCACCAAAATGAAGCAAATAAACCAATAATTGTAGACACTTTGACCAAGACTTTAGTCACATCTTTATTGATGAAAATGGAAATATTTGAATGCGCTTTTATTTTTTGTTAATTCAAACATGAGCAATCGGCAACTCAGCCGAATAATTGAATTGGAATGCGACCTTTTATCGTGATTGAGTTTCGTTATTTATTTGATCCCGCTCATTTCCATAACTGTGCGCAACAAATTCCTAACATGAGTAATCGATAATGTAATCTTCATTCATAACCTAATCCAAAGTAACAACTACGAAGAATTTTAAATATCACAACAGCTGAAAAAGTTACAATTTTTTCCACTGAACTATCGCTCTATAATCGTCTGGTGCATTTCCAAATGGCTTTCTACCATCGATCATGAATGTATTGATCTGAGTATCGGACAAGGTTTCATAGCCAAAAACATCTCGAGCCAGTTGTTGTGTCAAGGCGTTTGTGTTGGTGGTCAAAATGCCACAACAACCTTTTTCTTTGGCCACACGAATCACCTCCGATTCCATGAAGGTCATTGCCACCACATTGTCTTGTGCATTCAAACTTTCATGCGTTCCCATCATAAACGAGTGCATTATCGGCTTATCTCTCGGCAGACGATCTCTGGAAAAAATTGTGCATAGAATAAGTTTAGAATAACGAAGAATGTGAGTTTTTTTTTCAATAATGGAATTTTACGAATAAATGCCAACCTAACTGGAGTTTCAAGAGATTCCAGAAATTCGAATATCACACCATGTGGACCATCCAGATTGCACGGCGGTTCATTGTTTGCGTCGAAGCTCAAGGAAACACCAACAATACGGTTCGCTTTATCGGCAATTACGAAACTAAATGCAGTTTGAATCAGCGGATCCCATGTTTCATTTATCAGTACTACATAGGCCTCTTCGGTAATATCGGGCTTGATTTGCTGTTCCAATTCAGCTTTTTCCAAAAAGCTGTGGGCGATTATGCTAAAGATTCATTTAAATAGAAAATATTCAGCACAAAGGAGATTACAATTGTTAACGTGAGACTATTTGAACCCGTGAGCATAAAAACGACTTATTAAACAATCGCCGAACAAAACGATACAAGAAAAAACTACCAAACAAAACAAACGTTCAAAACGTAACACAGCAGGACGGTATCGTTCAAAACGAAACTCCGCTGTGCTACACATTACCGCTGTGGTACGTTTTGTTCGGTAGTTTTTTCTTGTATCGTTTTGTTCGGCGATTGTTCAATAAGTCGTTTTAATGCTCACGGGTTCATTTCAACTGTGAACATACCGAATGGTTTCTGCTCTGTACTCTTCTGAAAGTGGATAGGCCACGAAATCTGCTTTAACGGGTACTAGATGGTTCCCACGAATTATATCGATTTCGTTTGTGTGATCCAAAGCTTCTCTCAGGTTCTTTGCTGATATGAATTTGGTAATTTCAATGGAATAGCCACGATCACGAAGCTTGGCGACGGTATAGATCGAATTCAACGAATTTCCACCCAGTTCATAAAAGTTACTTTGCAGCGAAATGATTGTACGAGCTGATCGGCCAATAACTTCACCAATAGTTTGGAAGAAAATTCTGACCTTTTCCATCTCATTCGATGCAACACCGGTGTAATCATAGTCAATCGATGGCTCAGGATCATCTAAAACCAAACAAATCAATGCAATGAATTATTAGGATTGAAAATTTTCAAATCAAGCACGTTCTATTAGAAGAGAGTGAGCCTTACTGTTGTTGTTAGTGTTTTCGTACAGTTTCAGTAATGATTGACGATCAACTTTGCCATTGACCAACAACGGTACTTGATCGATGATAATGACCTGAGGCGTCATATAATCTGGGAGTTTGTTCCGAAGCATTTTTTCGATTTGCAATTCATGCAAAAGTGACGAGCGATCAACGGATGCAAAGGCCAAAATGGCTTGGTCCATTTGACCAGCATGATAGCATAGAACAATGCCTTTCTTTAAGCCATCAATTTCGTTGAGATTTTTTTCAATCTCGCTCAAGTCGACGCGGTGTCCTCTGATTTTAATCTGTGAATCAGTACGGCCCTCATAATGAATAACTCCACCCTTTTGTACCGATGCATAGTCTCCAGTTCGGTACAAGCGACTGTATTCTGTCGATTGTAAAACATATAAGTTTCATAGATCAATGAAATTTTGGTTCTCTTACGC